GTGAGTCACATGCACATTGCATGGTATGCCTTGGTCGGGTCCTCTGCTATTCAGGTAGGCAAACTTTGTACCCCGGCTGAGTCTACATCGCCCTCCTACAAACACGTCATTCTCTACAATGCAATCAGGACGTCCTTTTGCTCATCCATTGCTCCAACTTCATTGTCTTAACCGCTCGTTGTCTCTCCACCTCGATGTACATTACGAGTTGTTGAAATGTGACTCGCTCACGTCAATCTATAGATGACGACGATGAGGAGGAGGAGGATGATACAAGTTACTGCGTGTTTAGTCAAATGAGGCCAGTATTGAAAAGCATGCATTAACGACCTCACCTTATCCCTCCACATGCATATCTGGCAACTAAAGTATGCGCGTTAAGGCATCACTATAATGCGTACAGAAGAGTGTATCTCGGTAGGCCACATCATCACACTACTGTGAGAAGACTGGCACAATCGCATTCCTTTCGCACAGATGATGGAGTACGAACAGCTCTCCGCGCACCATTCCACTGCTCTAGCAAAAGGTGGAGTGGGCAGTGCGACACGGTAATGGAAGGAGGAAAAGTGGGGGCAAAGTGATGCCTTACGGGACTATTGCACACCTTGCAGGCATCCAATTCTGAGAGGCTTGTGAGTGATCTCCACTCTCTGCCCTTCATCCTTACTCGCGCCTCTACTTCCTCTTCCTACACCACACCACGACGTGGCAAATATGGCCTGTGTGCACAATGTCAGGTGAGGTTCGCCTTGCACAACCACCCATCTCACCTCACACAAAAGCTTGGCCGATTTTCACTCACTGATGTCAGGTGTGCTGCCCTTAACAGATCAGTATGTTGGTTATTCGTCTAGTCCCACTCCGCCGGTGGCAGCACTGACGATAAGACTGTGCACTATGCAGCAGCACTTATAGGCGTGCACATCCACGCTAAACGATTGCTGGTGCTTGGAGGGACGAGGTCCCTAACGCGTCCTAGCAAAACAATCCCAACTGAAACAGCTTTGCCAATCAGCTAAGTGTTTATTCAAGTAGACGCTCTCACTGGTAAGGTATTTGCAACAGAGGGCACAATTTTCGCATTCCCTTTAGCCAGCATTGCATTGCTGAGTCGAAGCCATGGCTCACGTCAATGCAGGGAGTGGGCAACTTCGCGTCCCTTACGTTGTCCACTGTGGAGAGCTTCATTCCTTTCCCCACCCTCCACCACGTCATTATTCTCGCCCTCTTTGAGACTGACGCGAGTAGGTGTGTCACCCGACCATAATAACCTCTATGGCAGCCAGTGGAATTGCATCTGAACAAGTTTTAGGCATGTTCTGTGCATCTGTCGGATCTGGTCACTCACCCTATCCATCGTCATCGTGGTGCCATTACAGACACAACGGTAGTATGCAGTCGCATCTATCTCTTGCTAGTGCCAGTTTTATGCTCCAATCGAGCCAGATGTGGTGGGTTGAGAGTTGTTGTGCTCTTTATCCAGTCGCTCTTCCACCACTCTAACAACAACGACCGTGCAGACGGCATTATCCAAGATTGTTAAAATTTGGCTCCTCTTAATGTCACTTCTTCCGTTAACTGTTGCGAAGCTTTATTACTTGCTCAAAAGAAAGAAGGTAACAGAGCAAAGGAGATAGCGATTCGTTGTAAACTGGCCAAAACAGATGGTGGGACAAACAAAGGAGTTTGGTGTTAAACAACAAAGTTCTAGACGAAGTTGAAACTTGATGTAATGGTTTGCAATGTTTGTGGT